TCTGAATCATGCAGCTATAGTGTATATTATTACTGATGACCTGCTGTATAAAGTACTTTCAGTGGCCCGGGCCATCGTCTGGAGGAGCGACCATCACAGAGCTCGACACTAATGAAGTAACAACAGCGGAGGGAAACACGATTGTACTGCTGTCTCACCATTATGGAGCTTAGCAACAACGACGGCGACTGCTACGGAGTCATTTAAAAAGTGAATTCGCGCTGCCTCAAACTTTATCGCGGTTATTGCATCTGTTTAAATTTGTCACTGATGTAGGCAAATTTTTTGGAGTTGAATTCGGAAGGACTGTATCAAAGTTCAGGAAAAGAAAAAGAAAGTTGTTGTCTTGTGTTCCCGTAAACGAAAAAAAGTGAAATTAGGCACTTTTACGTTGTAGTCGTGCGTACGCATTGACGGCAAAGAAATGTAAGAAAAAAAAGCGTGATGCACGTGACGCAAAGTTGTTGTTTTGCTAATCTAACCTGTTGCCTTTTTAGCCGTTCCTGTTCCCGTTCCCGTTCCCGTCGTGGTTGCTTAAGCTCCCTATTATAGCGTGACAGGGAGTCCTCGTGTCATCAAAACCATCTTCGGAAGCAGTCATAGTACCTGTATCAGACGCCAACAAAATTCTTGCACCTGTGAACATGGTGAATGAAAGGAAATGGATTCCCGAACAACTCTGGTAGTGCAGAATGTTATCCTGTCAGTCAGAGGGAACATCATCTGTCCTCAAACAGCTTATACATCCTGAGCCAAGCTTCCTTCCGTGACCAAAACCCGATCATGTTCCTGCTGTTCGATAATAACGCCACCAGTTGGTCAGGCTATCCTTTAAGTTCCTGGCTTTCCTCAATTATCAGCTGTCCACATTGAAGTGCCCTCAAGACCGGGTAACCACCTGCAGCAGCTTGCCATTTGTGCACCAGAGTGGGCAAAATACCTTCAGCTGTGAAAGGAAGTGGCCGAAAACATGCATAAAATAATTTTAATTATTTTACACATGTTCTCGGCCACTTCCTGAACACTCAATCTTCGTTAAAACGAGGATTGAGTGTTCAATTGCTACAACGTTCACTAAAACAGCGAGAGTTAACATCACCTCTTGCGACAAGCCTTTTAAATCTTTGCCAAAGAAAAGTAAAGAGGAACACGAGAGAGGAAGTGACGAACCAAAAGATGAGATGGAAATTACCAGTCGACCACTGTTTTTCCGAGCATCGGCTCTCCCTCGCGAACAACCGTCAACGAACTCGACGGAAAAAAACACAGACTTTGATGAGTTGGCTCAAAAATTACAGTTACTCCTCAAAATTCAATTGGCCTAAAAGGGTTTCAGTAGATCAAGTTATATGAAAATCGTGGAATTGTCGAGAACTTTGTGCACTAATTTTAAATTAGTGAGTGGATGACGCTGGGTTAGGATTTTTAGGTTGAGGATTAGGTTTCATTTAAATTTAGGTTAGGTTAGGGTTTTTTACCTTTCCGCGAGCATTATATATGGTCTTTTAAATCGTACTCAGATACACAAGCGACTGCTTTTATTCACAAATTGTAACTTGCTATAGTGTAAATGGGGTTTTGTTTTCGATTGAGGCGACGTATTGTGCGCATGCTCTTAGTTATGTGCATCCTCGGAGACCCAGGCGCAGTCAGTCGGGCCGGGAGAAAAGGCGCGACGAAAGTTTTCAAGTGCGAGCGGAAGAACACCTGGGTACCGACTCTCACCGGACCATTTTCAAACGGTCAAGTGAATGCTGGCTCCTGATTGGGCACAAAAAATGCTTTGTATCATTGTGCCCAATCGGCGAACAGTTTCTCCTGAGTTCTTTTCGTGAGTTCGCACACGACGGCTACTACTGCTATTATCTCGCCAAAGTAGCGCGGTTCGTTCACCAAGCTTTCCTAACCAGACAAAGGAACTACTGATGATCGAGTCGAAAAACGTTTCGGATGCTATCAGCAGGAGCAATTCAATTTGCACTGAGAAAATTCTGTTTGTGACGGATCACAATGTATCGTAAATAATAGGAAGTTTAAGATGCGGTGGCGACAAGAAATCAAAAAAGTAGCTTGACAAGGCAAAACAACAACTTTGCACGTGCATCACGCTTTGTTGTACATTTCTTTGCGGTCACGGCAGGACTACCACGTGAAAATGCCTAGTTTAACGTTTTGTGAAGGACGTAAACAAGCAATGAGTGACAAAATTTTCTTTCTCCTTATGAACTTGGATATGGTTGATAGAAATTAAGCTCCAGAAGAGTTCGCTTACATTTAACAAAGTAAGCGAGTTGGAATAATCACGATAGAGACTGAAAAATGTTATTCACTTTTCATGCGACGTTTTCGTGGCTGTCAGCTGTCGTGGCATCTTAAAATCCCTAATATTTACGAAGACGTGATCGATGCAAGCGTGAATACCTGTTGTAAGCTCAAGCTTGTATTTTCGGAAAAGCGTCTTTAGTTTTCGGGTAGACAGTATTTTGAAATGGAGAGTTTATAGCGGAGCTCTCGCGCGCGAAGCGCGCAGCGGAGCACCATGGGTAACAAAATATGGTAAACTACCCATCCGAGAAAATTTGGTAATCACGTGACCGTACACCGACCGCCCGCCCGACCGTCCGTCCGCACCACAGGCATGCCAACGCAAAATTTCGGGTAGTCTGTGGTGAGGGTTTTTTGGCGCGAAAACGAATGGCAACCCGCGTTTTGTGAAGCATAAATGTCGGTTGACATTTTTTATACATCCGTATTTTCTACATTATTTATTTATTATGCCCTCTAGTTTGGAGTATAGAGATAAAGAGAGGCAGAGAAAACGAGAAAGTAGGCGGCAAGCAAGCCAAGCTCAACGAGAGAGAGAGCGGCAGAGAGCTTGAGAAAGGAGGCGAAACTGCTCTGACGAGCAACGGGAGAGGGAGCAAGAAAGAAACAGAGAAAGGAGGCGCAATTTTACTGACGAGCAACGGGAGAAAGAGCAGGAAAGGCATAGAGAAAGGAGGCGCAATTTTACTGATGAGCAACGGGAGAGAGAACATGAAAGGGATAGAGTCGAGAAAGGAGGCGCAATTTTACTTATGAGCAACGGAGAGAGAACAGGAAAGGGACAGAGAAAGGAGGAAACATTTTACTGAGGAGCAACGCGAGAGAGAGCAAGAGAGAAACAGAGAAAGGAGGCAAAATTTTACTGACGAACAACGGAGAAAAGCGCAAGAAAGAGAAAGGGAAAGGCGACAAAATTTCACTGAAGAGCAACTGGAGAATGAACGAGAGAGAGCAAGAGAAAATAGACGCCTAATAAGCGACGAGCGGCGAAGAAGGGAGCGAGAGACAGCAAGGGAAAACAGGCGTCGTATAAGCGAAAAACGAACGAGAAGGAGGAGAAGGTGAGCGAATTTTTGCCGAGGTTAGCTTTCTGTTATAAGAATCGGGGATTTTACGAAAACAGAGGTAGCTTTTGTTTTGTTTGTTAATCAATAACCTCTTTGTAATTGCATCAGTTTTTTTGGACCAATCACCACACGTCATTTGTTGTCACGCAGTCTAGAGTTGATACTTTTATCATCCAATTGAAGTTGACCTGTGTCCTCCAAGTTCGTTGAAGAGAAACGATATGATTGAAATTTCACTTTAACAAGACAGTCGCGTCCAAGATAAAATTATAGAATAACCTTATAATTCGTGCTCCTCGGTGTATTTTCGTTGTTTCTGGCGCGGAAAATAAGGTAATGTTAAATTGTATTAATGAAATTTTATCGAAAATTATAACCATTGCCATGTGTCCGATGCATCGCTGAATGAATGATAACTCCTTATGTAAATTTTCGGCGACTCTGGCCTCTGTGACAAGTTAAAATGATTCAGTGTTAGAGGAATGGAAAAAATACGGTCTGTGAAAGCGTTGTTATGTTTTCTGAAAAGAGAGCAGAGAGCACCTTGAATTTGAAGATTTTCAATGTCTGTTGAAAGAGCGTTTTGGTGCAGATTGTTCGAGCTTACCTCTATTTGTTTTATTCAGGATAAACAGAATTTGAAGGATCTATTCTCCCTCTTGTAATTGAAATAACTTTTATTATTTTACTATAAATCTAGGCTTTTCCATTTTGTAGATACCTATCTTCGAGTGTTTAAGAATATATATGGAGATCTATGTAAATAAGGAGGGCAGCCAGGGTTAGAAATTATTTTTGAATGTTGACAGGCCAAACAAATTTAAGCTTGGTCATGTCTAGTTACTAACCGGTCAAAATAAATTATTACCTGCCAAACAAATTTTAGCTCGGACCGGTCAAAAGACAGTAAAAACTCGTAGGTAAGAACCTGGATTTTCCCATTGCATTAACAGGTACGTTCTTACAAAAATAGTTATTGGCAAAAAATTTGTCTATTTTTCTAAAATGAAAAGGTTCTTATTTTCTGCAGGAAAAAAAACATTGCAGCTTATGTCTCCCAAAGAGGTTCACCTGAATATTTTCCAGGTGTATAGAATTTTTTTTATAGATTTGAGGAAATAAAGATGTGTGTCAAATATTGGGCTAAACAGGTTCTTGTATAGAGCCTGGGGCCTAATTATAACTGGCAAGTTTAGCCAAACAGGTTCCTAAAAACCAGGTTCTTAGTCACAGCTAGGTTTTTACTGTATTGAAGACATTGTACTTTGCAGTAATAGCCAAATTAAGACAAAAATTATGTGATCGTAAATGCTCAAAAACTCCTTGTGTTCAGAGATGGGGAAATATTATAAACCAGTTTTGAGTGTGGTTATCAAGTTGTTCATTCACTGGAGGGTACAGTGTAGTAAATAATATTTCCAGGAATATTGTCAAGCTCGGCTCGTTTATTCTTAAAAACAATTCCCCATAAGAGTTAAACCAGAAATCACAACTTTTGGCTCAGTATTGTTCTGACATGTTTTCTTTGAACAATAGGTGTATGTAGGGGTGAGGGAAAATTCTTGCCCAACTAAAGATTTTATCTTATCTTCTTAGCCATGGAAGAACATGAAAGTCAGGTCCTCCAGGTTGAATGTAGCATGGAATGCTCTCTGCACTGGTGAACAAGAGCAAAGTCACTCAGCAGGTACTGATATAGTTCATGGTAGATGGTATTTATTATAGAATTGCATAATTGAGTAAAATCACGCATTCTGATTGGTTAACGAAGAGAGGTATTCAGTGTGGAATTGCGAGTTGAAAACGAGGCTAAGGGATGTTTTTTTCGCATCTACGTAACAACTATCGTCAAATTGTAACACAACAACTGCAAAAAAGGTTTTCTACAATGTCATTTTAAAATGTTTTCAAAATCATTGTCACCTTTTGTATATCCTTTCTTAACATACTGAAATGTCGCCTGGTCCTCCACCTACTGTTCCAACCTAAACTGTATTTACCTTTTGCAAAAGCGTCTAGTGCGGCTCATAACAAAAAGCTCACTATCTAGCAAATAAATACCCCTTTGTTTAGCCAGTTTTTAGTAAACACAGTACAAAAACAAGGAAACATAATGCAAAAATAAGGAAATAAAGTGCGAATTTCTCAGAGAATGAAAACCTGTGATTGGCTAATAAATAATCAGTGTTCTCCAGAAGTGCCATCCTCGGAGACCCAGGGGCAACTGGGCAGTGAGAAGAGCCCCTGGGGACAATGTCTTACCAGACCAGGGAACTCTTTTCCAAAGTGCAACTGGCAGTTTCACTGGGAACTCTTTTCCAAAGTGCCAGCTACTCTTATGAGTCAAAACATAAAAAAAAACTGTCTGTAACTTTTATCTTCAATTTTTTCGTAAGTTCCATTTTTTTTTCCTTGAAGGATAAAACGGCACCGAAGCAAATCGTGTTAATTCATTTCTTAGAATACTAGAACATGCAATTTCATTGGGAAAATAACAAACAAACAAAAAAGCCACAAGAGCTTGTTTGAAAGTTTATCGAAAAACACATGAAAATACATGGAACTAAAGTGCCTTGAACAGCTACAAAAGAAGACAGGTGTTGTTTATTCATGGTTGTGAAGCCACTCGCTGAGGCACTTGCCGATAGATAGCTGCGGCTTGTTTATCCGACATGAAGAATATAAATCACAAGCAACTAGAATACACGCTATGCAGCCATTCACTACAGCAATCGAGGCGTCAGTAAAGCTTCTTTTCTTGTTCAGCAAAACCAGCTTGTGGCTTCAAACAACGTCATAACAAGTGACCAAGGTAATAGTTTTTCTCCGTTGTTCTTACTTTTGTAACTGCTCCAAAAATCCAAATTCACAGTAATTTTGATGGCTGTTAAGAATTATTTTTCCTCACGTTTTTTTAGCTGTCCCGCTGTGTAAAATCCTAGAATCTCGATGAGTTTTTAAAAGTGTTCATCTTTTAATACAATGTTTTGATTTTTCATTCATCCAATCCAGGCGAGTCGGTTCATGCGTTGACACTTCTGATAGACATGTGACATGTGAATAGCGGAACTCCCTTGTCTTTTCTGGTTTGTTCTAACAAGATTCAAAGGGATTTTGTGGGCGTTTTAAATAAAATAATTATTCCACTTGCGCTTGTTGGATGAGATGATTATTGCCAACTCGGCGCTATGCGTCTCGTTGGCTATTTTCCATCTCATATCCAACGTGCCCTCGTGGAATAATTGTTAATTATAAAATAACTAAGATAGTACGTGCATTCTGATTGGTTAAAAACCAATAGTTTATTGTGCCGGTAAAATCATAGAAAACTGAAACATACTTTAAAGTTATTTTATAAAAGTAAAAGACCACATTTTCTAAAGGTTTGCTGGTGTGATAACCCACTTGGGATGTTGGGAGAAGACTGGAAAAGCTTGTAAACCACCAGCTTAACTTCTCAGATCTCTGGGTCTCATGCCCCCAAACCCCCCCCCTTAGATACGGTACTCTCGCTTTACCAGCACTTGGTATCAGGCACCAGTTACTTTACATTGGGAGCTGGCTACTTTAAAACTTCTGGAGAACACTGAACAATAGAAATATATAAGAACCAATGAGCCTCAGGTGTCACAATCTGCTTGCTTATCTTCTTAGCCATGGAAGAACATGAAAGTCAGGTCCTCCAGGTTGAATGTAGCAGAAAATGCTCTCTGCTTGGTGAACAAGAGCAAGGTCAATCAGCAGGTACTGATATAGTTCATGGTAGATGGTATTTATTATAAAACTTAATAATATACATGGAAAAATTTCTTGAATGAGATTGGCTTAGAGCAGTGCAGTTTTTAGTAAACACAGTAAAAAAAGCAAGGAAACATAATGCAAAAATAAGGAAATAAAGTGCAAATTTCTCAGAGAATGAAAACCTGTGAACAATCAGTGTTCTCCAGAAGCGCAGGCGACTGGTGGTTTCGCTGGCTACTCTTATGACTCAAAACAGTAAAAAAAACTGTCTGTACCTTTTATCTTGAATTTTTCAGAAGGTCCTAAAAGAAACAAAAACAATAGCTTGTCGTACAAAAAGCTCTTTGGTGTATGACAATTTGCCTTTTGCTAATGGTATTATCTATATATTTACTGAATGATTTTTGATGAGACATTGCCAGATAATATTTTTTAATTATAAAATAACTAAGATAGTACATGCATTCTGATTGGTTAAAAAGCAATAGTTTATTGTGCTGGTAATCTCATAGTAAACTGAAACATGCTTTAAAGTTATTTTATAAAAGTAAAAGACCACATTTTCTATGGATTTACCAGCATGATAACTCACTTGGTTCTTGGGAGAACTCTGGAAAAGCTTGTAAATAACGAGCAAAACTTCTCAGATCTCTGGGCTTAATGCCCCCAAACCCCTCCCTTAGATACAGTACTCTCGCTTTATCAGTGCTTGGTGTCAGGCACCAGTTTCTTTGCTTTGGGAGCTGGGTACTCTAAAACTTCTGGATAACACTGAACAATAGAAATATATAAGAACCAATCAGCCTCAGGTGTCACAATCTGCTTGCCCAACTTATTAAGATTATATCTTATCTTCTTATATTAGCCATAGAAGAACATGAAAGTGAAGTCCTCCAACTTGAATGTAGCATGGAAAGCTCTCTGCCAGGTGAACAAGAGCAAAGTCATTCAGCAGGTACTGATATACCGGTAGTTGTTTATGGTAGATGGTATTTTATTATGAAAGTTAATAATATACATGAAAAAATTTCTCTGTGAATTTGATTGGCATAGAGCAGTGTACATTTTAGTAAACACAATGCAAAAACAAGGAAACATAATGCAAAAAGAAAGAAATATAATGCAAATTTATCAGAGAATGAAAAACTGTGATTGGGCCAATAAACAATAGAAATTTATCAGAACTAATTAAGTGCCACAATTTGCTGGTGGGAAGCATGTATACTTTTAAACCTTCCCCTTTTTGGTGTAATTAATTATGCTCTGTTGTCTTACCTAAGTAATCTTTCTTTTTCTTGTAACACTTTTTTCTCAATATTTTATTTTATGAATTTACCTGATTATTTTTATTTATTTATTCATTGTGGGTTTTTTTTTTTTTCATTTTTGTAACCAAGATTTTGAAATTAATAAAGGTGTGGGTGGGCGTGTGTGTGTAACAAATAAGAATGTTAAAACTTTCATATATATATTTTTACATGGACTCAAACTGAAGAGCAGCTATATAGAGTGTTTTCACTCACGTGGCCAGCATCTATGCAAATTTATTGGAACAAAAGAAAGCGTTTGCATAAGAAAAGAGTTCAACTCCCACAGGATTGGTTTGGGACACCAACATGGCCGCCGTTTCATTGTTTTGGGACACCAATATGGCCGCCGTGACGTCATGTGAAAACACTCTATATAATGAGTGATTTTGTTACCTCTGCATTCTATCTATGTTCCTGACACATAAAAATCGCCAAAGACATAAAATAATTCATGGATATATCGATCTGAACTTGTGTATTTGTAGAAATATCCCGTACGTGTAATTTCTGTGGCAGTTATGGTTGTTGTTTAGTGATGCATATTTGTTTTAGCCTTTGTTGACTTCTGCTTTAAAATAGAAGAACTATATTTTAATTTCAGTATACTATAATACAGAGTTTTGGAGTGTGTCTTCAGATTAACTGTCTGTGGCTGGTACATAAAGGCCCAAACATTTGCCATTTTGGACTCATTTTTTTTAACAGGGACTCATTGGTTCTGGACTGGGACTCATGATTTCTCACAAGATGAGTCCCAGAATTCATCACATTTATTTGTAACAAAAACACTGTATAATTCATTGATTAGACCTTTTGTCATGTAATTCAAGTGTTGTTGTTGTGGTAAACATGACAAGTCATCATGTCTGTACTTAATTCTCCATGACTGGATTGTAGGATTTTTGTTCTGTTTGTATTTGATCGTGCATTATTATTATGGGAAAACTTACCTTAGGGTTGCATTACTTTGACTAGGACAAAGTTAAAATACATTGAATTCTCATAGAGATAATTATTTTTTGGATTATAATAATGAGTTCATTGGTTGGGTCACTCCCATTATATTTGATGACTGGTTTATGAAATATCAGCACTTAGAAAATGATTGTCAAGGTTGTTGTATTATCCGAAGTTTCAAAAGTAGAAATATTGTTTATTTTCTATTTGAAATCAGGTTTTGAGAACACTTCCACAGATACAGCTTTATAATAGTAATTCTTGTACAGTTATACAAGCATGCAGTACTAGGGTGCGAAGAAAAGGAGGTCAGTTTTGTGCTTGTCCTTCGGGAAGGCTGTAGCTTGCATCCATCAGCTTGCATCATTATCCATCAGGCAAGATAAAAAATAGAATCCACTAGCCCCATAGCTTATATGAATTGTGTAGTTGGTTAATACAAATAATTCATTTACTAGGAGAAGAGTTGGAACAACACACTCCTGCAGTAGAAAATGGCCCAATTGAGGGAGCAAGCAATGTGCAGGAAACTCAGCAACCTCTTCCAGAAGTAAATAATAGTAGCCACTTAGAAGATGACCGCCTAATTGCTAGAGCAAGGGCATTTGGTGTGGACTATGAGTTTCCAAAGCCTGGTGAAGTGGAAACGGAGGATGACAGAAGAAAAGATTTTATTTACTTGAATCAAGTCCATTCCTTTTTCTCTCCAACAACAATGATATATTAAGAAACATTGTTATTATAGCTGGAAATTTCTTTCCAACCATGTGCACACTCATTGGTTATTGCAATGTCACCTGACATCTAACAATGAAACTTTTTGGTGCCAATATTCTCTAAGCAGGCAACATCGCAAAAATCATTCACATCAGAGGGTAACAGTGCACAATTACCCGTGAATGACCAACAACTGACCTTCCAGGGAGGTTTAATGAATTTCCATGCAGCTATAAATTTTTTAAAATATTAACATCACAAATCACTTAAAGACTTGGCCCATGGGAAACAGTTAATTTTGTTTTCCAAGAATCTAAATATTTCCCAACACCATTCTCATTAGTTACTTCGAGGTCACATGACATCTAACTGTTTCCCACCACAATCTCTGAGGAATTGCCAGGCTAATTGACCAGCTGCGGTGGAAATTGGAGAATGACTATATGAATGGTTAGGAACGTTAGGTACAGTGCCAAAGTTGCATTGATAACTGTGGTGATCTTCCCTGAATTTATTTCTTCATTCTGCATTGCCAGTATATGAAATTAATGTATTTATTATACCATATATAACTTTGTTGTGTGAATTCACCTGGGATAAGTTAATCTTTTCTTGTGCTGTTTTAAAGTTATAGAGTTTTAGTTTTAGTTTCAACTTTTAAGACCTTTTTCTTTCCTGCTCTTTAAACCTTATCTAACTACGTGTTACTTTTTTCGTAGTTTTCTTTGACTCCTCTTCTTCCTTTGTCGGGAGTGGGTTGCGGCTACACGTAGGCTAGATTACATCCCGATACCGACTGGGGGGTATCAGTATTTGCAACGAGGTTATATCGTATTGTGTACCAGTGCGAATAAAACGATCTTCATCATCATCATTATTATCGTTATTATTATTGTAATGAAATCGGGAGCTCCGCTTTTAGGCTTGGCTAAATCTATATATTATCAAACTAAAAGTTTCCTGACTGCGTGCATTTCACCGCATTTCTTTGGTGCATAAGCCAGACAAGCCGTGATCGAGTCAATAGCCGTCATGTACGAACTCACAAAAAGAACTCAGGAGATGCTGTTAGCCGATTGGGCACAATAATACAAAGCATTTTTTGTGCCCAATCAGGAGCCAGTATTCGCTTGACCGTTTGGAAATGGTCCGGTGAGAGTCGGTACACAGGGGCTCTTCCGCCCGTGCTTGAAAACTCTCGTCGCGCCTTTTCTCCCGGCCCGACTGACTGCCCCTGGGTCTCCGAGGATGAGTTATGTGTCTCTTACTTAATATCTCCAAGTAGCTCCATGTCATGGGCTTTCTGCTGCTTTGCAAAGACTTCGTGACTAAAAACGACAGGCTTTTGGAAATTAAAACGCTGTTTTCTCGGGCCAAAAAGGCTTAAAAAGTATCTATTCAGCGTAGGGAACTCTTCGTCGTTCTTGAAGATAGCGTTTTTAATTTAACTACGTATTTTCGTAGGAAACAATCTCCTTTGGTTATATACTTTATCTTTGCAGAAGAAAAGAGTGAACAGATTTATCTCCTGGCTACGACGCCATTCTTGTTTGAATAATACCTATCAATTTATTTTTCGTTACATTTTATTATTTTTTACCCACTTCTTGTGATTGACTGAGACTTAAAGTTAAAAGAAAACAACAAAATAGATAAGAACAAAAAAACAAAACAAAACTAACAAAAAGTAATAGAAGAAAGAAAGTATGAAATGTGAGAAACAAAAAATAAAGAAGGTAATGATAGAATTGAAAAATAAGAAAATGCAAAAGAAACAGAATGCTTTTTTAAAAAAGCTCTCTGGTTATTTGGCATTTTCTTATTTTCATAAATATTGTTATACCCTTTCAAAGAACGCTGACGAAATAACTCAGTCCAATTTATAGAGACTGTCACTCCAACTGTTACTTCAACTGGCCGGCTTCTCCTAGTATTGTATTTTGCTTCATGTAAAGCATGCAAACTTAACAGTTAACTTTTATCCTTTTTCGTGTAATGCAGTTGTGCTCTATTGTCTTACCTAATTAATCTTCATTTTTCTTACCACTGTTTTTTTTTTCTTAAGGAATCTAAATAATTATTTTTATTTATTTATTTATTATTTACACAACCCGCCACGAATAGCCTTTGCTACTTGAGGGTTGTGTTTTAATTCTATTTTGTAACAAGGATTTTGAAATAAAGTTGTTGTAAGTTGTAATTGGTCCCATCATGCCTAGCAGGCTGACTGTGAAGGACAGGATGTACAGACGGTTGCTGTTATCATAGAACATTATAATTAGGTAGAATTGTGAAATACAATTCCTCAAACCTTACCCCCGACAGTCAAGTGTCGGAACTTGTTGTTCATGCAAAATATACAACCGACGGTCAAATAACCTGCTTTGAAGTATTTGAGGAAAAGATAACAGATAAAGAGGGAAAAGTGGTGGCTTGAGTTGAATCCAGAAATATTCAGCTAGGCACATGGGAGGGTCGAAAAAAGAAGGTAGTCAGTGGACTAAACGGAGCCTGCGTGGCAGACGTTCGAAAGCCGAGAAGTAACCATTATTTAACAATTAAGTAAGTAAGCAAGGTTCAATCTCAACATCATCGCACATTAATGAATCAGTACAACGTTGTTACAGGCCGTTCTTAAGAATAAGATTACAAGCAAATCGTATAAAAAAGGGACTGGTTTACAATAATGACGATGATATGTAATCGAATTACCAACAATTCCAAAACGATTTTTAATATATATACCTAGCCGATTTTTTGAAAAACAACCTAACGAAATTTGCAGTCATTTGAGAGAAAAGGTGTCAAAAGGCAGATTTCTTAAGCCCGTCAGAAGCTCCAAAATCATATATAGTAACGAAGGAAAAGAAAAGCAGAAAGGGCCAGGAGAAGGAAAGGAGGAGAAGAGAAAAAAGCAATGGCTGCACTCTTAGTTTTTATAATGGTTACTTTGGAGACTGTTTTTGGTCCAAATAATTAAACTGTTGAACGCAAAAGCTCCATTTGACGATAACGTTGTCAAAGCTCCGGCTAGATCAGTAAAAAAAGAAAATTGTCATACATGCAACTGATATCATCTATGCAGACTCGATTATTTAAAGTTAAGATTGTACTTGGAAAGAAAATACGAAGTAGTCTTTCAGTCCTACATTTGGGCATCGTAATATAGTTCTCTGTATCAGCGGCTCGTATTATACTGTTACATGAAACATTTCTGCAATTTGATTGGCTAAGAGCGGTGGTATTTCAGCTTAATTTGAAATACCTACCTGTGAAAATTACAACCCTTTTGCGGGTAGTAGTATAAAAAGAAAAACAGCATGATTTATACGTGATATTAGGCATAAATACCACGAGTGAAATTTCAAAATTGTCTCAAATTTCACTCGCCTAACGGCTCGTGAAATTAGGTATAACAATTTTGAAATATCACTCGTGGTGTTTATGCCAAATATCACTACAAATCATGCTATTGCCTAGACTAATTGATGATGCACACAAACCCTCGACTTAGGTCTGAAAATGTTTATAGAGTAGCCCCCTTTTGAAATCTTTTTGAACGGTGCTTACCCATAGTTCACTGCGTCTTTTGTCTAATCTAGGTAAGAAAAAGAAAAAGAAGAGCTTCTCATGAAAGCGCAGGTACAGGCACCCAGGGCACTGCACCCTGGTCTGCACACGGGACACTAGACTCTGAACTTAGGACTTACTAAAAATAATATAATAATTACTCCGGAATCACCCTCCCAAAGAGAGGATAAAGCTATCTTTCCCCCCCAAAACAAAATCAACCCTCCCGCGCCACCTTTTAGAATTTCGTAGAAAAAGAAAGAGAAAATGTGTTTATGGTGGAACACCCATGAGGGACGACATAGTTGGACCGCTCCGGACTGGACCAGAGAAAGGACTCTGGACTCTGGACCCTGGACCATCACAGGGGTGATCCATGGACCCGGCATCCATGTTTTGTATACATCCGGGAAAAAAGACGAGCGGGTGGGTTACGGGTGAGAGTGAGGGAACGCCTGAAGTACTTTTAACAAAAGCTCGTTCCGGTATACCAGATTCTGGTACACCCTAGGTCTATGATTGGTCTATTTTGACATCTCTTGTCAGCACTCGGAGGTTCATTACCTGATTGGAAATGTGATGCCGTAGCAATGAAATGTTACACAGGAGGTTATCTCGAAAGCGTGGTGAAGTGTTTCAAAATAAGCAACATCATCCGAAGAACAAGAAAAATCTTTTTGAGGCTGGACTGATGTCGTCAAATGAAAGTAGGGCTTCGAAATTTTACCATTTATTGGCTTTCAAATGAGCTCTTTTCTTTCAGTTCTCTTCAGGAATATGAAATACGCGAGTGAATCTTCTATTGATATGAGTCTTTGTTTAGCCTGCGAATACAGCTGTTTCTCCTTGCTCCTCGCCAATAGGGACATTTCTTCTTATGTCGCTACTCAAGTACAACAGTTTAACAGAGTTGGAGTCGCTACAACAGTATGGAGGCGTGGACGAATTGGCTGTGATTCTGCCGGGAAAATCTTGAAATTCAACTTGATTTGCTGGCGGAATCTTGAAAATTCAAGATAAACCAGTAAAAAACCACGATAAAAATCGTTAAAATGCGAGGAACTATCGATTTGAACTATGAAAAAGGACAATTTCACTCCTCCCATGGAGTGTTTTCAGAAATCGCTTAAGGGAGCTTGTATATATCTCCCTTGGTTGCCTCGATCACGGCAAAGTTTGAACAAATTATGGCGCGTTTTGGAAATATTTTGAAACAAAGTTTCAAGGGCTATAAAAACATTGAATAAATATGCTATCGACATGCATAACTGGCTCATATCTAAAGAAAATGATGAGGTCTTGAAATGCAGTTTCGTCTCATAGCATAGCAATTAATTTCCGAAGATATCTCCGAATTATGCTAATGTAGGAGATCATGGTAAAGACAACATCTTTAGCGTCACTTTTTCATCATGTGGGACACAGAAATAAATCGCTTTGCAATAGTTATTTGAATTTATGTTTCCTTTTTGCAATACCTGTTTTCAGTCAACTTATTTAGCTTTATTTTCATTGGTACGGAGACCCCTGACAATGACAGGAAAGTAACTGAGGATCCGCTTCTGAATGCAAATTAGAACAGCTACTACGTACTGCAAATCAAGACGGATATTACAAATTATTACAAAATCGTCCACTGACGTTCTCTAAACTTAAGCCAAAACAGCTTTAAAACTTGTTTGAAGAAAAAGATGGCTTTTCGCCACCCCATAGGGATCAAAGGGAAAAACGTTTACTTCATGCTTGTTTAAATTCTAGGAAACTACTTAACAGAGTTGATTACAATAATTAATGTGGAAAATAAAGCCAGGAAAAAGAAATACTTTCCCTTGGTTTGAAACAAAAAATTCAATTAGAAATTGTCTACCACTACTGTTGACGTGGGCTTGATACCTCAGAATCGCCGTCTCAAGAGCAACTGACATATACTGCTAGGAACCTTACGAAAATACAACACAATAGGCTTCAGTGAGCAGAACAACAGCTCCGGCCGCACGTGCATCACATTTTTTTGTACATTTCTCCGCTGTCCGTACACAACTACAACGTGGAATATTCAATTTTTTTTTAGTTGACGGGCTTAAGAACTGGAACGACAAGGCGATAAATTTATTTACTATCCCTCTCTGAACTCGGGCGCGGTCTCCTCTCTTCAGTTCCAGCTTAACACATGTTCCGTGCTTTCAATTCACTGAGCGACTTGGTATGAGGGCGAAAAAGGACGCGAAGTCTATTTTTCAGCGACGTTTTCATTGGCGTCTCTGTTTTCGGATAGTAAGGTCCCTATTAGATTGTATTCTTATCGTCCTTTGTATTGGTTCTTGTACCCTCCTTAAACACCAGTGCTTCCAAACTACGATTTGAGACAAACCGCCAGGGAACTGCCGGCCCCAAAACTGCCGCCCGCGATGCCTGACACAAGGCAGTTCTGCCAACTAATATTAAGATCTATGTTCTTCAGAAATGATCAAGTGGAAGGCTCTACTTGGTTACTTTTCCGCCTAAATTAAACCACCTGACTGATAAGCCTTTTAAACTCTTTCTTTATGTCTCTTTTGAAAAAAGCATAAGACAGTGGGTTAATGGCCGAGTTTAAAACCAATACAGGAATTTTGTATTGTTCATCTTTACATGATGCATTTGTGTCGAATACTACTAACAGACTACAACGCAAATATATTCCGTAGCACACAACAAACACTCCTATCACAATACCCATCATTATTACTGCAGACTTCTCGTGATGGGTTTTAAAAGATACCCGATGGTTAAAACGTAACTGTTTTGCTAGGGTGCGTGTTGACCGATCATGTTTCCATACATGAAGTAACATTGACGCGAAACAGAGTACTTGCAGTACGCATGGAACGATTTCCATGAAAATCATTAAAACCACAACTGCAACGATACTGGTCAGAGGGGTCTCACAGCAAAGCCGAAGTGCGGTCTTGAACGCAACCAGCGTAAATGACGCTATCCAACAGGCAGTTATCACTTGAATAACACGAGATCGAGTCATAAAAGTTATGTATTTAAAAGGCTTTACGATGGCGATATAACGGTCGAGCACCAGAGAACACAAGTTTAAAACAGACAAGTAGCTAAACAGCCACCTTACGACATCTTTCCATGAAGGAAAAACCTTAGGCCAGTAGCAGGTGTTTGTAACGTCGCATGCGAACAAAGAAGGAACAACGCTCAAACCAACACAAAAATCCGCCACTGCAAGTGAAACAATAAACGCGTTGGTTTTGGTGCGGAGATTTCGTCTGCTGCAGACGAGGAAGATTGTAAATCCATTTCCAGTGATGGCAAGAAAGGAAAGAACCCATCCAAGAATCCAAAACCAGGTCTCCATCCGTACTAACGGCAGAAAAGAGAAGTTCTTATTACCTACACAAATAAAACAAAAATATCCTCTTCACAAAAATGTCAGGAGGTTGTATGTTATTCACTGTCAGATGTATGTTACTAGACTGAAGTCCTTTTTATTGTCCTACTTTGTCATAAACTTAGTAATTTCTAATATGTGTTTCGCATGCGCAGTAGGTAACTGACCGAGCTGTAATAACACAGTTGGTAGGAAAATGAGGATAGTTGCGTGTCATAACCCCTGTAATTCTAAGCCAATGGGCGCTTTCAATACAACAAAAATTCCGGTTGAAATGTTGGAAATTCCACTTGCCCAATGGAACTACATCGACCCGAGCAAAGCCTCGGCGCGTTTGGTTACTGTTCCTACAAATGGAAAGGGACACTCCAACATTGCCGATCTTAATCTAAATAGCTCTGATCTGGCTGGATCTTAATTATTCTCTTTACAACTAAACCAGTCTGGTCTGTCAGTTCTAACAAATGGTTTTAACCGAGACCTGATGAAAAATGATATAATTAAAGGAACCTTCACTTTAGTCTAAATTGCGGCACATGTTTCTTACAAATCGTGACAGGTTTACTACAAATTACGACAAAAGTGCATTTAATAATAAATAAAAAGACTGTCTCTAATATCACGTACAGCGCGTTACTAAATTTGCCTGAGAACGTTTCCGCCGTTGTCGTTAACCATTCCTAAGCGAGAAAAAAAAAAAGAAGACAGATATGAGCCAGCACTGCATCACGGTAATCTGCCTAGTCTGTCCCGTTTAATAAAATATTACATGCAAACGAAATTAAAACAGGTAAAAACAGCTCTAGCCATACTAAATAGAATAATTATGCAAAGGTTTTCAGTTAATAAATAAAGCTGATCACGATGTGCAACAGAAACACAATGTCGCTACGTTTTTTAAGGCAGTTCAACTCTGGAAAAAACACCCTCTTCACAAAATTCTTGTCTAACCTTTATTAATTATTTATAAAACCTTGTTTTTTATAATCCTTTCAATATATATATATATATATATAGATGACGAAAATTAGCCTTGCGTTTGTGTAACCGGGGCGAAAAAGGTGATAAATTTGATAGCTAGAGTCCTTTTTCCATATGATAAGTCATAATTATTGTGCATTTTTTTCATTTCAAGTCACACCTGCAGACTAAGCTGAAATGAACTTGCACGGAAAGATTACAAAACTCTTACATTTCTTGATGTTTTTCTCAGAAGGAAATTATTTCATATAACAAGAATATCGTACAGTTAATCTTTCAGTTCGGTTCAGTAAATTCTAGGAATCTATCGCCGTTAACAGATGAGAGTTGATTACGAAGACTATTTAACGAACAACCTCAGTGCGGAGGAAAATTGGCGCCAAGCCTTTTATTAAAGTCACCAAACCTCGAACTTCTGAACTTGTCAATTTTGTTTCCTCTCGTCAAACTGGTATTCAGAGTGCAAACATCCGTTTCAGATTGAAAAACCGATGGTCGTAACCGATGAGGCCGCTGTACAAAGCGCACGGCTATTAAGCCTGGGTTCGAACTGTATCCATGCATGCTCACGCTATCTTTGTTACTCGTTTGATGTAGAGTCTTGCTCGAGTATGCCAAAATCAAGCAAGCGAAGCAAAGCGGGCTTTCGTAGCAGCCAGTGTGCGGGCTTTGGTAGCAGCCGGTAAAAACTTGCGTCTCAAACCACCTGTGAACCTTGATATTAAGTCCTTTCCCTAATGTTATAGATATTCTCTGAGGCTCCAAATAAAGGTTTCTCTCCTAATGCGCCATTTTTCCAAATTTCAATTCGCTTTGAGTCTAAGCATCACAGATTTATCAGTCGTAGCTCAAGCCTTTTGCACTCGTTCATATAAGACCTACATCCTGCAAGAATGAGTAACGCACGTCAAGTGGTAGGCTTTAGTTAACTTTGTTATTTTCTTTAAAACTCAGCGCCGAAAAGTCTTTTGAACTCTTTCTTTTTGTCTCTTTTTTGTCTTTTAAAAAAAGCATAAACCAGCGGGTTCTTGAGAAATTTTTCGGGTGGTAATGTGACGGTGGGACCCGGGAAAACCTAGGCTATACTCCTGGTTCAGCTGAATTTTGCTCACTGTGCTAAACTAAACTTCCCAAATACCTCCCTATACAAGAATTGCTCTCTGATTTCTATACCCAATCCCAGACTTAACAGCATGCTTGAAAACCATACCCTACAAAACGTCACAATATATACCATGTGGCAGTACCCTCCTCCCGGGGATTAGGTTGTCCACCGAGTTCCTTTATCACAAAGTTTAAAGAATCCACAGAAAAAATATTTTCGCTCGTTTGAGTGGGGCGAATATGAGTATGACAAATTTTGATAGCTGTAATAAAAAAATGCATTTTTGCCTTTCTCCCTATAACTAAAAGCTTGCTATAGTGAGTTTATAGACCTCTGACGATTTTATGTTGATTCTCTCCACCTCTTGACCAATAAAGAGATAGAGAGATATAAAGAGATAATAAAGATATAAAGAGATAGAAGAGATAATAAAGACAACTGTTTGCATATTTAGATAATTTACACAATTAAACAAATAATTAAAAAAAAATGGCGGAAAATTTTTGGCACGTTTTGCGAAGAAAATGAAATAGCCAGAACTAATTACTGCCCAAGACTATAAAAACGACGGATAACAATTTAACAATTAGGGAGCGGTCATTAACTATTGGGGGTGGGGAGGGCTGGTATTATTTCAAAAGCGAGGGTCCAAAAATTTTACCCCCCTCTTAGGTTAACAGCCCAAAAATCCTGCCCCTCCAAAAATGTGTGCCCAAAAATTGTAACCCTCCCTGTAATAACATTTCGAGTATTCAAATGTTGTATCCTCGGAATCCATATGAGCGTAACTTTGAGACAATTTTTTCATTGGAATAAAAAAAAGTGTTAGTATTCAC